TTAGCTCAATCATGTTGTAACTCAGACATCCGCTGGAAAAAATATTTTTTTCACGTTGACGAGACGGCATTACTGGAGCGGTCACTATGGACGCGGAGCTTGCTGTTTCTGTAGGTACACATTTCCTGGGGACACCTGCACGTCTCGGCCGCGCCCCCTCCATTGTGATTGGCTAAAGCGCAGCATCGTTCAGACTCAAAGCCCCGCCCTCCCCCCCCCCTAGTCGTCTTTCACACAGGGCTGCCGACAGATTCTACAATGTAGATTGCAGAATCTGTCTTGAGAGATTAGTCTTACCCTAACACCTTAACTAACGTATTGTGATAGAAACTCACCTGAATTAAATCCAATGTCCAAACAGTGGTCTGTAGATTGGGACAAGGGCCTGTTTCCGAGCAGCTTCTCCAGCATGTTAGAAAAAGGACACACAACACGATTGTGTCCACTTGTTAGATTCTTTTTCTTGGCGTTTTGATAGCTTTGTTTAACGTGCTTCCACCAGACATGGCTCTGTTCTGCCGTCCTGATGAAACTGGCCTCCTTCAGCTGTTCCAAAACTTTTTTAAACAAATCCGCGTTTCGTGCAGCAATAGTTCGATTTTCAATTGCATTATCTAGGGGGGTTGGTTGAGCTACGGACAGTCCAATTTCAGTCAGACTAAGCTGTTCACATGCATTCAAAAGTCCGGTTTCAGTCGGACTAAGCCAATAATTAGATTTTCTATAGCTGCATGTAGATAGTATAGTATATTAATTAGCTTTAGGGTAACGTAGTCTCTCTTACCCTAACGCCTTAACTAATGTATCGTGATAGAAACTCACGTGAATTAAATCCAATGTCCAAACCGTGATCTGTAGATTGGGACAAGGGCCTGTTTCCAAGCAGCTCCTCCAGCATGTCAGAAAAGGGACACACAACACGATTGAGTCCACTTGATAGATTCTTTTTCTTGGCGTTTTGGTAGCTTTGTTTAACGTGCTTCCACCAGACACAGATCTGTTCTGCTGTCGTGATGAAACCGGCCTCCTTCAGCTGTTCCGAAATTCTTTTAAACAAATCCGCGTTTCGTGTAGCAATAGTTCGAGTTTAAATTGCATTATCTAGGTGGGTTAATCGAGCTACGGACAGTCCAATTTCAGTCAGACTAAGCTGTTTACATGCATTCAAAAGCCCAGTTTCAGTCAGAGTAAGCCAATAATTCGATTTTCTCTAACTGCATGTAAACGTACTGACTAACTCCACCCCCATGATTAGTTTAGTTTATTTACTTTATTAATCCCCTGAGGGGAAATTCAATGTTTTCACTCTTGCTTGTCAATTACACACAGGCCCGAAAGACACAGACATGCACAAACAGGACCTATACATACACAAAGTAGAGAGATGTCAGAGTGAGGGGGCTGCCCTTGGTGAGGCGCCCCGAGTAGTTGGGGGGTTTGGTGCCTTGCTCAAGGGCACCTCGGCAGTGCCCAGGAGGTGAACTGGCACCTCTCCAGCCACCAGTCCACGCTCCATATTTTGGTCCGGACAGGCGACCCTCCAGTTCCCAACCCAAGACCCTATGGACTGAGCCACTGCCGCCCCATAAGATGATGAAGAAAGCTGCTGCTTCTACAGTTGAAAAATGGAAAACAGACTGGCTTGGTGTTCAAGGGTTGATTAGGATGAATCTCCTCCTCTGAACAGCATGCATAACTCATACACCCAAACACAGCCTTGGACAGCTAAAGCTAATCACGACTTTGTTAAAAGAAGCAAACACTTGATAAAGTATTCAGCTCACTGTCACCAAACATCATTGAATGGTGAATGATAAGTAACATTAATGCCAACTGTGGGGGGCGGCTGTGGCTCAGGTGGTAATCGGAGGATTTGATCCCCGGTTTCTCCACTCCGCATGTCAATGTATCCTTGGGCAAATTGCTCCAGGTGGCTGTTCCATCGATGTGTGAGTGCATTTAAGCCGAGTCGCAGGTGGCACCATATATGGTAGCCTCTGCCATTAGTGTGTGAAAGGGTGAATGCGACATGGGGCGTTGAAGCACTTTGAGTGGACAGAAGACTAGAGAGGTGCTACACAAGTGCAGGTCCATTTGCCACTAGAGATTTTAAAATGTCTTTGGTCTGGCACATTAGCCAACAGTGTCAGCAAGTTGGCGGTAAATATTAGCTAGCAAACATTATGTTCCAGCTGAAATGTGGGTCTTGCCAACTGATGGCTGGACGGAATATTCAGTGGGGGGGATCAGTGGTGTTGATTAACATTACTGAGAAATCTACAACTTCTTTTCAGTCTACTATTCAATGATGCAGTGCTTATTAGAAGGGTTGGGCATCGTTTGAATTTGAACAATTCCGGTTCAGATTCCAGTTTTCGATTCTAGCTCCAAACAATTCTCCATTTTGATTCTTTATGGTCAAAAAAGGTTGCATGCTTATTTCACAGAGGGAATTTTTATTTTTAAAAAAATCAGATAAAGATATCATATAAAATCCTATAATCATAAAATCATAACCCCATGAAACACTGACCCAACTTGATGTGTGTGACACGTTTGAATTAGAGCTTAGATCGGGCCCAAAAAATGCAGCCCGACCCAGCCTGTCCAATTAACTGTAATTATGGGCTCGAGCCCGATTTAAACCCAACATTTTTCAATAAGTTGACTGTTATAATTAACGCTAAGGACACACCGAGCGCGTTAGTGCCGCGGAAGTACTGCGAGTGTACTCGCAGGCGCTTGACTTTCCACACAGGCAGCGCATTTCTCCTGCACTCTCCGCGCCGGTTAAACATCGACTCCACTCATCTGTTCCTGTCAGTACTCGTTTTTTCACTTCAACAGGTCATTTTAAACATGGGTAAGTCCATATTTTCATCGTTTTTTATAACATAATAAGTTAATGACAATTTGTCATTGAATGTCTATGTATTGAGCATGTTGGGTAAACACTGAATGATCAGAATCAGTATATTTGCCATTTGCAGAAAAACTAGGCATATTTTTTGGAGGCACGGCAAGCCGCTGTCCCTCCCACTTATCTCTCTCTAAGACGAGCCAACCTCTCCACTCGCACTCTTTATTGCATCTTCTGAATAGTAATAGGGTTCAGTCTTATCCTAAGGGCTCAAGACGGCGACGATTAGAGGCCACCAGCTTGCCCGGAGGGAAGAGTAGACGGGTGAACTATGACCTTCCATTTCTAGGCCTGTGTGTATCACTAGAGATCACTGGCCTAACCCCAGGGACAGAAGGTGAATGATAACGGACACACACATTTCTGCTCTGATGCTTTACCTATTCATACTCTCAATCCCAGATTGTGTCACAGAGGAAAGAAATATTTTTATTTTTATTAAGCTAGTGGTTCCTCCATGTTGAATGCTATAAAGTATTCAATCACCAATCATGCAACAACACATTCTCACCCTGACCTCATCACATTTTGCCACTTCGTCACAGACTTTCCACATCTACCTATGAAGTGAAAGGTAGCCTGGATGTGTCATTATTTTAATAATTACTTTAAATTGATCATATTGACCATGAAATCATCTTTGGTAAATTAAATGAAAAATAAAAATAAAACAAAATAAAAATAAAATTAAAACAACACATATTTGTTGGTTACATTTCCGTCACATCAGGGGACATATGCTCATTGGTCCGATGCTTGACCTATGACCTCCTGGTTTGATTCATTGCCA